ACTCCCTGTGGTCATTCTTTCCCCGTTTCCAGTTTCATCACCATCTCTTCCAAGCCATCCTTCCCTCTCCACCCTTCTTTCATCTTTATTCATTTCTTTGGCTTCCTCAAAGTCTTCCTGTCCTACTTTTCATTAGCAGTGATTTTCTCTTTCAATTTCCCTTCCTGAATTACCGTTCTCTTATGTCTCCAAGTCCTCCTTCTAGATTATCTTTTAAACTGTCCTTTGGATAGGGGCCATCTTTTTTCCCAAGTGTCCTCTTTTCTCCACCTGAGTTTTAATTTTTCTCTCTAGGAATGAGCCGTGTGGTTGTTTGCTTTAAAGATACTTTGAAAGCCTCGGAAATTACTCCAGGGAATATGCTGTCAGGAATTTCTCAGTCCTCTTACGTCCTTGGCACATAAAAATGTCCCTTTCCTCACCTGGACTTTGACAGGTTCCATCCAGTGCTCCAGCGTGTCAGCAGTGACGTTCTCAGGCAGAACTACGGGGTCACTAGGGGGAATCACACATGATGGGGAACACACAGCACCTGAAGGAACAGAAATTTACAGCAGAGACTTGAACTTCCTAGATCTCAGTCTTTTTCATCCTGGAATCGACAGCTTTGATTTTTTAAGGGCAATTAATTTCTATGTTATGGGTCACCACATAATCACGGTTATAGGCAGGGCTGACATTCATCTACCATGTACCTGTAGAGACCCTTCTACACTAATTGCGACAGAGATCACTGCTCCATGTTAACTCCCCTTGACCCGATGTCCACTCCTCTTTCTGGTCCAGAACAGCCCCTCCTCTGCAATCTCTGAACCCCTGCATGATCCAGCAATTAAAAGTTTGACTCTTGGTCCTGCAGACTCCCAAGACCCCACTCTAGGACCCTGGCCAGCCGAAGACTATCCTGATTGGCACATGCCTTTTAGCACATTTAATATCATTCCTGCTTATATGATCTCTGGAAGGCTGATAATTACAGCAGCCATCACCTAAGAGGTGTACTAGCTGGGGGGACAATGGCCCAGAAATGATGAAGGCAGATTTATGTCTGTTGCCCCACTGAACATTATGCTGGCAGCCAAGAAACCTATGTGTTTAAAAGAGAAAGCAACAGGAAATTAGAAGCAGAGATTTTGGTCATGTGTTAGCCTTCTGAAGGAAAATCTTGCTCTACTCCCTTGTATGTGGGTCCAAGTGTCTTAGAAAATTCTATTCAAAGACGGCTTGCTCCCAGGGTTCCGTTTCCTCATCTATAGATATGCTCATCTCCAAGTTTCTTTGCAGCTCTTGCTATCTCTATTTCTGTGTTTTTTACAAACCTATGAAATAACTCAAAATGCTACATGACTCTTAAGTGCTCTATATATGTGAACACATGACATTTTAATGCAGAAAGTAGAGAGTGGGGAGATGAGAATTTGCTCACGAAATACCATTCAAGAGGCCCAGTCTGAGCACCCCACTACTCTGTGCCTGGCCATGAGATATCTTGGTGCAAAGAGCAGCTTGAAGATGATAAAGAACCGTCTCAGAAACTAATGAGCTTTCTCATTCACTCAAATTATACCCACTGGCGTGACACAGAATGACATAAAATTACTCCTTACTTATGCAGTTCAGAACTCAGGGTTAACCTTACAAGGTTTGCCACAAACAGCATCTCTTTTCTATGATGCTTATGGCCAGCCAGGGCAAAGTTGAATCAACTTCTCTATAGATCAGCTCCGACCACAGAGTTGCAATTACTTGATTCAGAAGTTGCCCAGAGGCTCCGGAGCCTGGTCCCCTGTAGAGAAAGAATGGCCGAAGGGCAATGCAATGCAAGCCTGCAATCTCCAAGCGGCCCTTTCAGGAGGGAACGCCCTGCTCCAGATACAAGGGCAGAAATGACAGAGAAGGGACTCAGGACGTGTGTGGTATGTGGCTACACATTCCCGCCTGTCCTCTTGGACTACAACTCAACTCCTGCCACAAATCAATCCACTCTCCGCCTGCTGCTAAGTGGGTGACATGACCAGACACTCTGCAAACGGCTCAGCAGCAGCACCAATACCAACGGCACACACATGTGCAAGAGTAAAACGGATGCGTTTGCCATAAATTTCATTTTTACTGAAGCAGCGAAGAGTCAACTTGCACCTCCAACCACTCCTCAGGGAGGACAGTGGATCTGACTCCAAATCCAGCGAGGCCTCATAAAAGGATGCCTTGGGAGCAGAACTCAGCATCTCGTCCCAAACTTACCAATCCCGTATCCCTGCTCACACTTGTACTCCACAAAATTCAGCTCCGACGGGGGTGGTGGGCACTCCCCTTGTAGGTTCTCACACAACTTGAACTCCTCAGTCCACAGTCCCTCCTTAGTGCAGAGGATAGGAACCTAGAATATCAGAAGTAAACATTTCCATTCTTATTTTGTTAATTTCATTTAGAACAAAGGGGAAAAAGAGGTCTGATTAAATGGTAGTGTTCTCCAATTTTTAGGACCTGGACTAAAAGACACGATTGAAATAATAAACCATGTTGTTACTGACCACAAAATAAAAATAAAAAATGAGAAAAGTTAAGACAATTTTTTTTTTGGCGTCTTGACATGAAGAAATCATGAACAATCTTGTCATTAATGAAATTTATTAACAATGTGTTTTCCTTCAGATAGAAGGATTCAGACAGTTGTCAACTGTAGCCCACATATTCGTAGCTATTTTTGGACTTTTTTCCACAGATGGCGTTGTTTTGCATCGATTCATCCATACTATCACACCAATGCTGCTTGTAGCAAATGTCAGATTTTTTTCAAGAGGAGTGTGATCCAGTGAAGCCAATTCATAATCTTTATGAAGGTGTTTTTGCCTTTCTGCTTGAATGGGCACATCACGGTTGCTTTTGGTCTCACCAAAGTTTTATTCCTTCTCTCCATAGGTGTGCTGGTTTGTGTAACTCTTGGCTCTACAGCCCCAATGATCACAAAGCATACTATATGCAGATCACAGAGAAAATAGCAGCAAATCGCAAAACCCAAGGAAGCAAGGTTTTAGAATTGTAGATAACTCTCCCTTCATCCAGGGCCAACTCCTTGAGGCCTTAAACAATCCGTGCAAACGGATGTGTTTGATTTCTCTGGGGTCTCATTTCATGGCCTATTCTTTCCACATCTGTCCAGCAGTGCTTACCTTGGAGTGCTGGACACTGAGATAGACATGGGCCAGGAGAGCAGTCAAGGTCATTGATCTCTGCCTAGGAAGTCTGCCTAACTTCCTGCCTCATGTATGTGTGTGGTACTTGAAAAGATTCAAACCTGACATTGATTTTAATCATGTAACCACGATAAGACTGTGGTTTTCATTTGAGACCTCTTGCGCCAAAATCCTAGGGAGAATGGTAGTCAAACGGTGCTTTTTGCCTCGCCTTTGCCGAGGAATTTGTGTTTCTACTCAGGACTCCGTTCTGTTGAAAAACATGATAGCAGCTTTCATAGCCAGGTTAGGTCAGTGGCCATACATGGGAGGAAATCACACTGACTGCCAAATCAAAATCCCAGCATTTCTGGAATTTACCCAGGGACCCAACCCATCCGGTTTTTCCTTTTATCCAAGAGGAAGTTCTAAATTCAGGAGAAACTATTCCAAAAACATGGTCTCTTCTGAATTCTCCATCAAATAATAGCAACACCACTGGGTAGAACCCCAACTTAGGAAGGCCCTGCCTGTTGGGATTCATTTAGATCATCTCTGGTGAACATTCTTGGATGGGTCATCAGGATTAGAGCATGGCCTGCTCCAAAACCAAGTTCAAGTCATCTTACCCTTCCGCTTTCCTGGTTACAGCTGAGCACACACCGGCTGTTGAGTTCAAAGCCATTGGTACATTCATACATGCCTTCAAAGACAGGGGAAGGGGGCTCACACACCACTGGAACGCAGCTGCCTTGCTCCCAGATGCCACCCTCCAGGCACTGTATCTTCAGGAAATTGCTGATGAGACATGAAACAAAATAGCCCGTTAGACTTCCGCAAGGAGGTCATGGGAGAAGACTGAATTCTCCATAAGTCTAAGGAGTAGCAAATAGGCGGGAGCAGTTCGTTCTTGTTAGCTATGGGTCCTACCTCTCCAGTCTAATTTCCAAGTCATGGAAGGAAAAAATAGTAGTATACACTTAGTATCAGCGATAGCAGTAGCTCCTGTATAGTATAGACATACCTTGGAGACACTGCAGGTTTGGCTCCAGACTATCACAAGAAAGCAGATATTGCAATAAAGTGAGTCAAATGAATTTTTTGGTCTCCAGTGCATTTAAACCTATGTTTACACTCTACTGTGGTCTATGAAGTGTGCACCAGCATTATGTACGAAAAAACAATGAAACTTAATCATATCCACATTTTGATTTAAAGTGAGCTATGCGTGGGGTGCCTGGGGGGCTCAGTCAGCTAAGCATCTCACTTTGGCTCAGGGCTGTGATCTCACAGTTCCTGAGTTCAAGCCCCGCATTGGGCTCTCTGTTGACAGCTCAGAGCCTGGAGCCTGCTTTGGATTCTGTGTGTGTCTCTCTCTCTGGCCCTCTCCCACTTGTGCGCTCTCTCTCTCTCTTACAAAAACAAACATTAAAAATTTTTTTAAATAAAAAAATAAAAATAAAGTGAGATACATGTGATTCTTCCTTTTACCCAAACACTTAGAGAACGTCGTGGGGTTATTAACTGGCCTAATTCTAGTTTTATTGTATCTCTGTATTCAGAGGCTCAAGGAGAGGGAGAGGGACAGGGGAATGGCCAGACAGTGAAGTAGTCAGAACACCCATGATATGTATCGGTTAAGTTTGCTGCCTTATATAGGTGTGGTTCATGGTGCCCCAAAATGATTATAATAATAACATCAAAGATTGCTGATTACAGATCACCATAACAAATACAATACTAATGAAAAAAAGTCTAAGATAGTGTGAGAATTACCAAGATATGACACAGAGACAAGTGGTGAGTAAATGCTGTCGGAAAAATGATGCCTATAGACCTGCTCAGTGTTGCCACGAGGCTTCTATTTGTAAAAAACTGCAATGTCTTCAGAGCACAATAAAGTGAAACACCATACAACTAGGTATGCTTGCAATATATGATATATTACTCTCAAGAGAGCTTGATAAATACCAGTTCAGGGTCTAACCTGTTTACAGTTGGGTTTTATATAAGACTTTCATCTTGAGAAGTCTCACTCCTAAGTGCACTGGGAGATGCCAGGTAGGATGACGGGAAGAAAAAGTTATGCCAAACTCAGCGGACTACCCAGAAGTGACTTGGGATCATCAGTGTTAATATGGTAACACAACTGATAATGCTACCACTGTTTCTTAGTTCTCTGGAGAGGGGAGAAGATGCAGCACACAGATTTTCTTTTAAAACAGAGTTTCTTTTAAAACTCTTATCCTGAACTTCTGAAGGGCAAGAATCTCACTAGAGATTACCATGGCCATTTTGTTTGTTTGCGAGTCCATGACTTCCTTGGAAAGGATTCACAGCTTTTGTCAGATTCTCAGAGGGGGCACGACTCAGCACTGGGCCCGAAACAACTGCTCTTCCTTCTAGCGCACGAACATGGCCTCCAACCAGAGAGACTGCTTTGGGGTAGACAGCAGTCAACAGAACTGGGTCTTGATACGGTGAATTCCATTCCATTCCCCTTCTGACTCACTGCCAATTTGAGGGTGTTTTCCATGTTGCTGTTTTAATGCATCCACTTCTGATTCAGAATGATTCTGGATGGCTCAGTCAGTTGAGCGTCTGACTTCGGCTCAGGTCATGATCTCATGGTTCGTGAGTTCAAGTCCTGAGTCAGGCTCTGTGCTGACAGCTCAGAGCCTGGAGCCTGCTTCAGATTCTATGTCTTCCTCTCTCTCTCTCTGCCCCACCCCTGCTTGTGCTCTGTGTCTCTCTTTCAAAAATGAATAAACATTAAAAAAAATTAAAAAAAAAAAAAGAATGATTCTGGCTACATGCTTGTGATTCTAAGATAGAAATAATCCATTGGCCATTGACTCAACCATATGGTAACCCTAAATGATTATTTTACAGTGTCGTGACCCTCTTTTTAAATTCAAATACACCAACAACTTTTAATTACTGTTGTACTATTATACAATGCCTCCTGTGGGCTTCCCAGGTATTCTAATATTACACTACTAAAATATTTATCACATTGTTTTATAAATGTGTACATGTCTCTCTTTTCCAGTGAATTGGAAACTTCCTGAGGGCAAGGATTGTATCTTGTCCTTGTTTTTAATTCCTAAGAATAATTCCTAAATAGTATCTAGCTACATTAGGCATTAGTTAAGTATTTTCCAAGTTGAGTAATTTAACCCCAATTCACAGTGTATTAGGCATATTGCAGAGCACATTACACACGGTAACACTGAATGATCAGAATACTCGTTGTGAAATAGTATTATTATTCCTATATCATAAAGAAACAGACTCAGAAATGTTAAGTAATTATCCCTACAGCACAGAATGCATTTGATTTCAAATAATTTAAATGAATTTTAATAGTTTAAACATTTAAACAATATCCTCCTAGAAACAAGTGAAGGAGTATTCCTTAGTCTGGTTTTTTAATGTTTATTTATTTTGAGAGAGAGGGAGAGAAAGATAGCAAGTGGGGGAAGGGCAGAGAGTGAGGGAGAGAGAGAATCCCAAGCAGGCTCCGTGCTTTCAGCACAGAGCCCAATGCGCGGCTTGAACCAATGAACTGTGAGATCATGACCTGAGCGGGTATCAGGAATTGGATGCTTAACCAACTGAGTCACCCAGGTGCCCCTGTTTGTTTTTGAGGTAGAATTGTTATATAATTTGTTAGTTTCAGATATACAACATGATAATTTGATACTTGTATATTTGTATACATTACAAAATGATCACCACAGTAAGTCTAGTTACAATCTATTACCATGCAATTGACATCATTCATACATTTCATTTACTCCCAACTCCCTTCCCCTCTGATAACCATCCATCTGTTCTCTGTATCCATGAGTTTTGTTTCATTTGTTCATCTGTTTTGGGTTTTTTGATTCCACAAATAAGAGAAATATATGGTATTTGTCTTTCTCTAACTTATTTCATTTAGCATAATACCCTCAAGATCTATCCATGTTGTCACAAATGGCAAGATTTCCTTCTTTTTT